CGATCCACTTTCATTGACTTCAGCCGACTCATAATGACCATTGTGGGCACATCAAGATACACAACTATTCCATTTCTTTTCACATGCTGCATGCCAGCAGTGTGCATTGGATTGGACCCAGTAAGGGAAATGACACTTCCAGATGCTGAAAACCTCAAAAGGGCTTTTCCTTCCTCCTCTAAAAATTGCTCATTACCAACATCCTGCAGTTTTTCTGACACACTCATATTCCAGGTTCTTTCAAGGACATCATCATCTATATCTATGACAGGGCAATCGAGTTTCTGACCTACTATTCTCCCAACTGTTGTTTTCCCAGCACCCGGAGGTCCCATCAGGATAATATTCTTATTTCCAACAAGAGAATGGCTTGAGAACCATGACTTTGATATCCGTTCCAATGTTACCAGTCTTGAAAACATCAGCTTTAAACAAATTTTAGAAAGACTGTTTTGGGTTATCAGTCTCAAAGGTCGATACTGAACAGTGTGAAACATCTTCTGCTGCTTTTTTTTTTTTTTTCTTTCAAGCCACCTTGTCAGCCCACTGAACTGATTCAAAAAGAAAAAAATAGCAATTAGTTCTTCAATAAACATCTTGGAAAAAAAACAAAACCTAAAGGATATGAAATTGAAAACAACAACAATTAAAACACAAATCTTGTTATGACTTTGTCAGTGATAGGAGGTACGTATTTTTCAAAATAAGATCATCCATTCCATTCCTACTACATAGCTCCAGCTCGGCTTCACTGACAAACCTAACTTCAAACAGACCTTGCCCTCAGGTTAAATAAGGATACCCAGGCCTAGCACTACAATACTATTTGCATATAATATTGTTAACAGGAATTAAAATTCAAGTTTTTTTTTTTTTTTTTGGTTTTTTTTTTAAAATCAAATAGACTTACTTAAAAGTACAAATTCATAAACAATGAAAGTTAACTAAAGCACCTCCATGTAATTACAATACTGAAGTCTGTATGTTCCCCAATTTCAAGATATCTTTATTTTCTAAGAACAAAATAAAACAAAACAAAAACCACCACAAACGAAATACCCACCTACATACAACAAAAACTCACAGACTTGTGCAACAGCAAGGATGGAAGAGTTGCATCCAGCTGTCTTCTGATGGAATGACAGAGCAAGCGATTTGTGAAGAGCTCCTACAATGGAATTGTATTGGATGTGGTTTGTGCAAAGCGAGAGAAAGACATCATGAAAACACTCCACTCCCAAAAGCACATTAAAGATTCAGCAGGAAAGCAGCATTCTCAACACAGATTAAACAAGACACACTCAATGTGTTTTTCTGTTTGCTTAGAGAAATCACTGCCAACACGACTGGAGCTGCAAACCACAATTTGTTTGTTATGTTCAAGGCCACAGGGTGAAGGACTCTCAGAATCTCAATAAAGGAGGGAGGCTGGACGAGAAAAATCAGCTCTAATTTGCACAAAAATCCAAATAGAGTCATTTTTCATTTTAAATAATAATAACAAAGTGATACTTGTTTGCCTATTTCTTCACTGCTCATGTCTGAAAATGTTTGAAGAAGAACAACAAAGAATTTCCCTTAGGAAATTAATATAACTATATGATCACTCATCAATTCTTTAAATTAATATATATATGTGTATATATAAATACATACATAAAATCACATTTTTTTGAAGACTTATTTTAGCTGTTACAGCATGCAGGACAGAGATGGCTGACAACAATGCAAGCGGTATTTCTTTTTCCCACCCTCCTGGCAATGTAACACCTAACCAAAACTGCAATCAGCTATTTCTAATAACTGTATCAATCTAGCTGCTAGCATTCCATCTAGCAGCTGGATGGGTGCAACACACTGCAGCAATATTTCTCAGCTTTATCAGCTACTCAGACCAGAAAAATATTTTTTAGTGACAAAGTGTTTCCCTGTGTTAGTCATAACAGACTCAACAGAACAAATACAGGAACTCACTTTAGAGTAAGTCACCAAACCCTTCACAGAGCTTTTTCTCTAGACAGTTTTGAAACCAACAGTGCTTTACCACTACAGAGGACAGAAGATGACACAGAGTTGTATAAGACTGGTGAGAATCAAATGTACTGTAACACCTTCCAGTGACCTACCAATGGTTAAACCATGTTTAGTTACCACAGGAGCCCTTTAAGACCCTGGCCTACCTCATCAGAATGCGTAGTATGGAATGATCCTAGAGACACAGGTCACTCCAACTTTAAAAGTAACATGGAGGCCCAAGTTTTCTCAGAGCAAACCACAGAGATCTTCACTTTCAGGTGCTCCTCACTCTAGATTCTGCTATGTGTTCTAGATCTCTTTCATGCTCTGCTTTCTTTACCAAACTATTTCTACTATTTGTGTTTCAAAATCAAAGTGTTTCCAATTATTCAGATCTTTCCATTTTGCTTACTTCTGTATGGAGAGATAAGCTTAAAAGCAAGTGCCCTAAATATCATTATATTCGGTGTCTGCAGCCTGTACATGATAAGCATGCTGTAACTACAAGGTATAAACCAGAGTAAAGATGGGCACTTCATACTGCACAGTTTTTTCTAATCCTTCTAAAGTATAAGGGAATATGTAGGTGCAACAAAGTTTTCTGCAACAACTATTAAAAAGGAAAAAAAAAAAAAATCTTTCAAGAGTATTTGTAATATTCAGTGTCATTATAAAGTTGTTCTGTAATGGCAACGCACTGAAGTGAATATACACATACAGTTAACAGGGTCAGAAAGTGATACTTAAGCTTCCAAATATGAATATGTTCAAGATATTTAAAAAAAAAAAAAAAGAAGACAATATTTTAGTGATTTTAATTTTTGAGCATAATAGTTTCAAACCTTATTTACGAACAAAGGGCATACAAATCATGTCTGCACCTCTAGTTGTACTCCAGAAGCGTTTTGCAGTGCACAGTACTTAGTACACAACACAGCTGCAGGACAGAACATCCAAACTGCTTTATGAATCTAGGACACAGGAACACAAAACCCTCAAAAATTAGTGCTGTAGGCAAGGAAGGAACTAGACACAGACTTCTCTGATTATATACTTGCCATATTTGCATACGGTTACAAGCAGTCTGTGAGGCTGCCTGAAATCAACTCTGTAAACCTGATGCAAGAATGTGCATGGAATTTTATTCAGCTGCTTGGTTTAATCTATCACAGTTTCACCCAACCTTGCACCGATATAAAGTATTACAAGAATGAAGATACGAAGATTTTAAAAGAACAGTTCAATAATTGCAAGCTTTTCTTTTTATTATGTAAAAAACTTTTTACTATGTACTAAGAAGAAGCTTGCAATTATTGAACTGCTCTTTTAAAATCATTTTTATTCTGGTGGCAGGGCTTTACTGTGAAAATGGTGTGAATTAGACTTCATGTCTAGCAGTTCATCAGTCCAGTAAGAGCACCAAACCAACCACCTTCAGCTACAGCTACTTGTGCCAGCAGGCTTTAGGGGTGAGAGGGTGTTGTACTGAAGCAGAGCTTATACCTGTACCTCCAATGAAATCAAGTTCTGACAGTACACGTCAACCTTCCACTTGGAGGGCTGAAGGCCCCTACTTGCAGATGTACACAATTTAAACAACGATTAATGATGACAGGAGTTACAGTGAAAATTGCTCTCAGCTACCAGAGTAGACACAAAGTCTGCAAAGACACAATGTATGGTTAAAATCCAGAGATCAAACAAGTCAGTGGTGGCTGTTGGAGAACTCAAGGTAGATCAAGACAAATCGTTATCATGCTTCAGAGCGTCCAATACACACACACACACAAAAAAAACCTCCCCTTGCCTTTTCTCAGAATTTCAACCTTCCCATGACCACCCCACAGCCCAAAATGCAGAGATGGTATTTAAAAAAAAGAAGGCAAATGTGTGAAATCAACCTCTGCACCTCGTTTCTGCAAAAGCCTTAAAGGAGGGTGAGAAGTCCTACCAGTTACCAAGTGTAAAAGCCAGGTCACAGCAGCAGATGAGCAACCACAGCAGTTGCAACTGGTGCAGGGGAAAGGATCACTTTCGAACTACACCAGCAGCTGCAGCGCTGACAAAACCGTACAGCGAAGGAGGCAGGAACGTTCTGGGGACAGATCTGAGCTGCCATAAGGATTCCCACTCTGCGGCAGCCAGACACCTGCTAAAGCTTTCCAGAACATCAGTGGGCACTCAAATATCTTTAGGAGCCTCGCTCATCTGCAGGAAGGGGTCGAGCTCATTTCCGAGCGTGAGATCTGTAAAACAGAACGAACACAAAAAAGGAAGCCCCGATCCGATCTCGGGACACAGCGGAGCTGCCGCCGCGTGCCACGCAACCGCAGCGCACCGCTGAGGGATCCCCGAGCTGCCCTGACCGGCCCGGCCGCTGGGGAACGCGCCGTCCCGACACCTCGAAGGCGCCGAAGCGCGGACAGGAGGTTGGGTACGGACGGATCGCAAAACACGGCTGAGCTGGACACCACGGAGCCAGCCCGGCCGCAGCTCACCGCCCCCTCCCACTGCTCGGCCAACGCAGCCCTAGACTTCCCCAACCCTCGGGAGTAGCAGCGGCAAAACCTTTGTTTCGCCCTGTCTTGCCCGGCCCGCGGCTCGGCCCGTCGCGGCCCAGCCCCGCTCCCCACAGGCGCCCCTCAGCGCCCACGTACCGGCGACGCGGGGCGGGGCTCTCAGGTACCGCACGCACCCCACAGGCGCGCCTCCACCGCCCGCACTGCGCACGCGCAGCCCTCACCGCCCGCCCGCAGCTTCGTCGGCTTCAGCTCTGCCAAGCGCGCTTGCGCAGCCGCGCGACGCGTCCTGTCCGCCCGGCTGTCGCCTCCCGCCAAAGGAGGGGCGGAAAAGAGGTGGCGCGGCCCCGCCTCTCGTGGCGCTGTTGCCTAGCAACGCGGCTCCTTGGCGACGGCGGCAGCGTGAGGGCCGCGGTCGGCCCGGCGGCAGCCTCAGGCGAGGGGTGGGAGGCGGGAACGGACGGAGGATGGCGGCCCAGGAGAGCGTGTATAACCTCCTGCCTCGGCTGGAGGAGAAGCCCGTCAAACCGCCCAGGTACGTGGGGATGTAAAGCACTGTGACCGGTTCTGGCAAGGCACTAAAGTCTGCGGATATGGTTGGGTGCGGGTTGGGTATGGGCATGGGTATGGGTTGAGCATGGGTATGGGCATGGATTGTCTGTGTGAGGCAGAGCTGGAGTTTAGCAGGGAGGTTATGGGAGTGGTGGCATTTGGAAAGATACAAAATGAAATAGCATGGTCTTTTGTTGTGACCTTTTCTGACCTTTAACTTCTTCATGCCTGTTTTTTAACATCAAAGGTATATATCGACATTTAGGCCGTCTGTGAAGCTTGAAATAGAACGAAGTAAAGCACAGTGGAAAACTATGGGGCCAGCAAAACTTGCGGTGCCATCTCCAACAAACTTTCTGAAGAAACACTCCAAGGAACCCACTTTACCAGCAAGTGAGTGTGTGCATTGATCACATGAAAGGCATGGTGTTCTTTCTCAGCTGCAGCCATTTAAAGACTGAAGCTGTGTTGACAGCATGATCTGTCCTTCTGATACCTCAGTTTGCAGTTACAAAATTTAGATTTGTATGTCATTCTTTCCTGCAACTGATCTTTAGTAATCAAGTGTATAATATTAGCAGGCATATTAAAAGTGAACTAATTGTTTGTAATGCTTGAAGTTATTTAGGTGAATATATATATTTGTCTTGATCGTCACCAACATAAAGCTTTTCAGTATTCACTGTTGCCTCTTAATCCTGTGGCATTGAATTGACTAGCATTGTCCAAAGTGTAGAACGTTTTTTGGAGAGCTGTATACCACAGTAATAAGAAAACTGGAATATTTTAAAGAGCCAGTTTTTTTCCACCACCCTATCTTCAGCCATAATCAAACACACCAAGCAAACAAACAGAAAAACAGAAGAGCTTAAAGTACCATATTAAAAAAATGCCATCTAAGAGAACATGTGGGTCAGCACCAAAGCATATGTGGTACATGCAAAGGACTTTAGTGTTGAAAATACAGGCTATGACGGGAGCCTTTGGAGATGTACTGCCTCAGGCGATATGAATTATCAGAACCTTAAGGTAAGTTTTGGTCCCTGAGGTCCTGTAGGTATTGTAGGTGGTTTTTACCAAAGATCATCTCTTTTTCAGGAAAGCTGAACAACATTCAGTTACTGGAATGTAATGCTTCATTGCATCTGATCATTAATGCTTTCAAGATCAAGAACTTGTTAAATTGCTGCACGCATGTTTTAGATGAACATAAGAATGTTGATTCACCAAGAACTTGGAGCAGTCCATGATGTTCCTTTTAAATACTTTTTTTTAAAGTACTTTTAAGTATTGCAAAATTTCTGCTAACTCCTACAAACTGACTATGTTTTGGCATTCAGCACTCTGTTCTATTTTTCTCATAAGAACAATTTAAAATATTTTTATCTCAACTTGCTAATTCAGGACTTCATTAAAAATAACACCTACTGGTGTGTTTGCATTTAGAGTTGATGTACCATAGCCTCAGAATGGCTGTGACGCATTGTAGCTACTATTCAGACTGGTAATCTCATTGCTGTGATAGATCATAACAGGTTTTGAGAACAAGCTACATCTTTAACTCAGAAAATTCTTGTACTTGTGTTGAATGGAGTTTCATACTTACATCAGAAAACTTACATTGCTTACTGACCTCTTTTTAATGCATGGCACTTTCATCACTTGGAACTTAACCAGTTATCATCTGTGGGATTATGGCATTTTTTTAAATGATTCCTATGCCATCTTGAAAATTGGGTTTGATCTGTCTAGTTAAAAAGTAGATGGTAAAGACAAAGCAGAAAGATTGTTCTTTTTTTCCCCCCTAAAGTCTAGGATAATGTCATTCTTGGAGAGTTTGATTACCTAGTAAGTAACTCCTTAAAAAAAAGGTATGTTTCCTAATCTACTGGTCTGGTTGTATTACTGGTTCATCTGGTTGTATTACTGATTTCTGGCATTCATTTTAATCAAACTGTGTTACTGGCTGCGGAATGGGGGCTCCCAAAACATCATTTGTGCACCAGTGTTATGCAGGTCAGGGTGAGCAAGTGCTCACTGAGAAGACCAAATTCCAAAATGGTGTCCTTAGAGAGTCAGATTTAAGTCTGTGTTCTACAGTACTAAATTATGGAAAGCTTTCCAAACAAACTCAGAAAAGCACTGGTTTGTAGGGTCAGCATCAGGAAGCCAGCTGTTGTAGGAATGTACTCTTACATATTAATGTAAGTTGGAGTTCGTCTGCTGGGAAATATGGTGGGAAATGAGTTGTCTTTCATCACTCAACTGAATTGGCAGTACTTCAGGGACTAGCAACTTTCTGTTGGTGTGTTGGAGAGATTACACCAAAAAGGAAGGGTTCCTGCATTCTTTGGAGAAAGGAGGGTGAGAAGCAATATTATGGAAGAGCAGGAGTAGTGCCACTCCTTAAGGGAGGCCAGGAATTAAGGGTGACCTAAAAATGACCTCACCAACAGGAGCAGATTCACCACAGCAGAAGCATGAAAGCAAAGCAGAGCAGTGATGGAAATGAGTGAGTGAAAATGAGTCAGTGGCCTGGTGATTATCAGACAAGACAAAGCAGCAGGCCAGGTCTGTCCACTGATTCTACAAGACACTTCAGGAGTCTAGGGGCAGGCACACCTGAGCTAGATGAGCTAGGGACTGACTGCCCAGGGCTGGGCTGAAATGAGGTGCGCAGAATGATGCTGGTCAGGACCAGTGAGCTCAGAGTCCTGATAGTGAGCACCTCTGATAAAAACAGTTTTCATTACATCTTATAAGTCCTGTGCCACTACAGTTAAGGAGTACATTGAGTGGCGTATTATTTGGAAAACTTATCTACAAAACAAGACAGGATTTCCTAAACTAATTAAGCTTCAATTATTCCCAACAAGCATATTAGTCTTTATTATAGTACTTTCCCAGTTTACAGTACAATCCCAGTCAGTCCTTTCAGTGTAGTTACAGCTGCTTTCTACTTCATGTAATTTTGTGCATAATTTTGTGCATAATTTTTCTCTTTTTAAACTGCAAAGCTCTATAGAGTTATTGCTGAGAATGTTTACATGCTCAATTCACAGGAAAAAAAGAACAGGAGAGTAGGAAACTGCCTGCATTATCAGTACCACGGAGGACAGATCGCCCAGTTATGGGAATTGAGAGTAAAAAGAATTTTATAAAAACAAATGCAGTTGCTGCTATCACAGGATTGCCTAAAAAGCCTCAACATATTTATGTTGATAGAAGACAGGGAGACAAATACTTGCTTGAAACTTCAGGACTTGTTCCAAAATATATTAAGAAAAAGGTAAGTTTTATTAAATTATAATGAAAGTACTAGTAGTGATGCCTGTTTTAGATTCTCTCTTTCTCCTATTGAATGTTTAAGATTTTTTTTTTTTTTTTTAGATGTTTTAATATCACTGCTGCTTATGGTAGGCCTATGAAACTGATGAAGGAGAAATCACTGGCAGTAGAGTACTGCCTTTCCTTTGCTCTGTATTCACTTGCTTATGCTCTCAGCAAAAATGTGGCAGAATGTTGCTGCTAAACCAATAACAAATGTGTTGTGTTCTGCATTGGGATCTCTTGGAGTATCCAATAAGGACACACAGAGCCGGTTTCTTCAATTTCTGCTCATGTAACAGTCTTTCCAAGGTGCTAATGGAGAGATGGGATCCATTGAGCAAAGTGGGTGAGGACATTTTAGTGAACAGCCCTGCTAACCTTCTAAAAGGTATTTTAACAGAAGTGTGGTAATAAAAGTTTACAGTTTAATGAAGGAACACAGATCAGTATGGCAAGTACATAGGTAAGGATAGTAAATTGTGAAGGACAACAGCAGTTCATTCATAGCCAAGTTGTGCAAAAAGAGACATGATGTGTGACACAGCTTGTCACAGGGAAGATGCAGAAAAATGAAGCAGCAGTCCTTGCGGAACCTCTGCACGGCTAACATAATCAAGAGCACTACTCAACACTGAAAAATTTGTGAATCATCTAGCATTTGTTTGAAAGAAGGTATATTCTGTGTGTTCCCCAAGTGTGTCTGTGATATCCAGAAAAGATTTTTCCTCTCAGAAACACAGATCTGCTGTAGCCATTATGAGATAGTCTGTCATTCCTCTCCAGTTCACATTGTGCCATATCTTTGGCATGCAATGTTTTAGCAGAAATCAGAATACAGGAAGACCTTTCAATGACAGTATCCAAGGAATGTGGACAGTAGAACTTAATGCCATGTGAGAAAATTTTAAGTAGCCTGCTGTCATGAACAAATTTCAGACTTTTCACTCAAACATCAGTTTGTATAAATGTTTTGGCTTCTGAATTCTCTTCTGAAGTTGCGACAAAAATTTGAGGGAAATTGTTTATATATTTTCATAAGAATACGAAGAGGATCACATTTCATGCTTCCAAGAGCATGGTAATTTAAGATTCTATTCTTCAGTGGCACAAAATTCCTTTTCAGACTGTCTTTCTAAATGTGTTGCATTATATGTGACAGGTATGTATTTGTTTTCTTCTTAAAAGCACATTAGGACACTTTCCTTGTCGTTATAGGATTATGGTGTTACACCAAAATATGTAACCCAGAGAAGAGAAGAAATGAAGAAAGCTCAGAAAGAATATGAAAACAATGTTTTGGAGTATCTCAAGAAAAAAGCCATGAAACAGCTATCTGATGAAGAGAGAGAATGTCTACTGCAGGTACATATTGTGATTTAGTGTAATTAGTAATATGTGCATAAGATTAATAAGGCAATGTAAGTCCAAATAAATGATAAAAGCGTATTAGATTTTTAAGCAAAGCAAATGAGTGCCTACTTCTTCACTAGATGGAGCTATAGAACAGTTGTAAATTAAGCTGAAGGGAGCTGGTATCAGTTTTCAATTCAGTTAGGTTCGTATCCTCTTTAATGACTTGGAATTTCAGCAAAGCTTCAAAGAAATGCAAAAAATCACAGATGTGGATCTGGAGACAGTTCTGACTCTCTACTTGTGAATCATTAAAAAAAAAAAAACCAGTTTTGTTGTTTTTTTTTTTAATAGCAGTTTTTTTTTCTGATGTACAATATCATTGCTACTGTTACACTTATTGGTAGTTTCTGTCTTCATCTTGTGACCTCACTGGCTAGAACATAAAGTCGTGCTTTGAATGTGGGAAAAACAGAGAATAGCACTAAACCTGATGTATTTGTAGAGCTATGACTGGAAAATTCCATTTGTCAAACTGTCTAGGATACTATCTTTCAGAAAGTTTTTAGTGCACAAGTCTTTCTAAAATGAAATAATACTGTAAAAAGAAGTAGAAAAGTAGAAAAGAGAAAAAGTGGGAAGAAACATTTTAAAAATTATGTCCAGTTCTTAAACTGGTATTCATCATGACTACTTTTTAGGCAAACTTCCTATGAAAATTAGGTTTATGTTCCTGTGATATGTTTTTTAGTCTGTCCATTTGAAGCAAGTGAGCAGATGATGAACATCTGACTCACAGAGATTAATTGATTAATTAGCAAAATCCAAAACAGTAGCCACAGTGGTGTCTTTTATGTAACAGGCAGTAGATGCGTAGGGAGGAGTATGGGAGAGAAGTGAGAGTATTGTATTGATAGCAATAGAAAAAGTATAACAGCAAAGTTGAAGATGAAGATGGCAGGGAAGGTGTGAGACAAGCTGGTGATGCAACGAATGAACTGTGCAGCAAAAATATATCTGACAGGAGGCATGTGAGTTTTGCTGCTCACAAGTCTAATTTTGTTTGATCATGTTCCATATTTTTCAGATACAACATTGAGCAGAAATCTTTTTTAATTAAAAAACAAAAGATTATTTTTGTTAACTCACCAGTTTCTTCTGATTTTTTCAAAAATGCTTGCTCATTCTTGGGTCAGATTACTTATATCAGTTCTGTTGTCAGGAGGAATTAATGTCCCCAGAGTATGTGACTCCTACTCGGCGCTCAGCTGAGGACTTGTGGGAAATCCTGTCTTTTAAAGTAATTGACATAGATATTGAACAAGTGCATTATCTGATCTGAAGGAATACGTGGCAGTAGATGTCTGAGAACAAAATTAAAGCTCATGAGCTTACAAAAATAAGTGGACATCATTTGCAACAACATTTTTGAACCCTCTCTCCATTATGCTTACTTTGGTTAGGATTTTTGAGAATGAAATAAATGGTGATAAACGCAGTCATATTTCTCACTGATCCAGCACATATTAGCATTCCTTATATAGAGTGAGGTATTCAGTTTGTCATCTAGCCCAGAGCAGTAGTGGTCAGCATATTGCATTGCTGTGGAAGGAACTGTGAGGGTGACTTTTGTACAGGGAACGATGATCTGCTTCCCATCTCTCTACTCTGCAAGGATAGAGTACGTTTTGATGAGTGGGTGTTCTAAGGTCTTTTCAATGATTTCCAAACCAGCTTTCACTAATGCAAAGAAGAATTACTTAAAAAGAAAGTTATTCATGACTCTTCTTTGAAAATTTCGGAAAAACTGTATTTTTTTTTCATGGCTGTCTATTTGTAAATAGTACCTTATGCCTGGTGGACTCTGAACTTCATTTAAGTACTTTACAGACTTGGATTACAAAGACAAGTAACTTTGTATGACAGTCAATAAGTAGGCTTGTATGCTGCTCTTAGTTGCCTGTGTTGAGATAGGATTTTTAAATTTATGTGGATATTTGTATATGAAGATTGGAAGAAGCTTTGTGGGCAGCAGAAGATGCTGAATAAAAATATACAAAAACTGTGAATTTCTGTGCAACAAATATGCTACTTTGAATCAATAATATATTAATTCGTATTAAAATGTATGTTCTGTTTACTCAACATTTGCAAGAAGAAGTTATTCTTTTCTTTTAAATCTGCTCACACAGTGGACCAAATCAGACAAGTTTATAGGCATGAGAATCCTTGAAACTCTGAAATAGAAGCAACAATCTTCAAAGCCAGGTCTAAGAGTAATTCTTCTAAATGTAAATTCAGTAAGGCCAGGTTAGCCAATATGGTGGAAAAGATGAACAATAATAGTGGAGAAGAAAGACATGAATTTGGAAATCACAGTGTGCCATGAAATCAGTGTATCTGTTGAAATGGTTTTTAGCTAGAAGGGTCTCTGTTACTGGAAATGGTGCTGCTGGTGGTATAAACTGAGTGAGACTTGCATTTTAATTTGGGCTTGAGTTTCAAATATTGGTATTCTTGTGATTTCTTAAGGTCAGTTGCACCACGTATGGTGTGGGGGTATCCGCAGTAGTCAGGTTGCTGTTTATGGCAGAAGGGGTTTCTGTAGTGAGGTTTGTAAAATAATTCCTGTTGCCTTTTTGAAAAAAGCAGTCAACTGAGTGATGAGTTTTGAGGCAGTTTTTATGAATCCTAGTGGTTCCTCAGTAAGCATGCTGGAATCAGATACAACCGAGCAGTCAGCATTAACTGCCTGTAGATTCCTTCTTAATAAGGAATCTATTAACTTGGTGCAGTTTTTCTTGAAGATGCTGAGGATTGGAAATGAAATGTAATGTTCCTCGAGTTACTGATAGGCTGTGGAGTTGACTGTTGATCACTGTGTTAATCACACTGATACACTTTCTACAACTTAGTAGATTATACATAGTAGATGCACTTAATCAAGGGCAATTTTACCGAAAGTAAAGTGATTTATGTGCATATAATTTTTAATGAATTTTTCTCATGTGTTTCCTTTTCTTGCAATGCACTAGGGGCTGAAAAAGAAGTGGGAGGAAGTGTATAACGAATTTCAGTGTCTTTCAGTAGAAATAGACACTATACCCAAGCAGCTGTATAAAGGAAAGCTGGAATCACAGATGAAGCAACTGGAGCATGACATAGATGTAATTGAGAAGCACAAAGTTATCTACATTGCAAATGAGTAAGGACTGTTTTTCAGACATTGCCTCTTTCCTCCTTTTCTCTTTCTCTACCCTTGTCCATCCAAGAAAAAAAACCCAAAGCTCAAAAGAAGTTGAAATTATTCAGAAGGAAATATTCAAGTAATAGAAATATGCAGCTTCTTAGTTATTTGTAACAGCTTCTCTATTTCTCAACTGTACAACTCATTTTTTTCAAATAAACTTAATATAACTTTATATGAACATGAATTTAATCTATTATTTTTTGTAATTTTTATTGACAACTAAAATGCCTCTAAACATCAGGCATAAAAAAATACTGTTCTGTATTGTATGTATACTGTATGTTTGGGGCACTTCTTTCCTTACACAGCCCAAACTAGGTGGAATAATTGTCTGCTGAAGACACCTTGGTAAACATTTGGAGTGGGGTGGCTTCTGCTCTGGTTAATAAAGAGCTGTTGCATTTTTCTTAAATGCTTGAACGATTATATTTCTAAACAGTCTGGTTTCCACTCAACGTTTTGTTTATGTAAAAATAATGTGATAATACTGTATTAAATCTACAACTCAAGTAGAAAATTGTGCTTTAATTGCTACTGTATGTGTAACGTTAGAATGAAAACAATATACAAGCACCTGAGTTGTGTAGATAGAAATGGTACAGGATTGCATAGTGTACTGCATCTGTTTCCATGAAAAGGAAAAATGCTATTCTTTCCTACTGGTTAACCTTTGCTTCCAGACACACTTTTTCTATCTTATATCAATTATTTCCAGCAGCAGCTGTTGTGAGATCTTTATAAGTGACATCAGCACAGGATGAAGTCAAGAATTTCAATTGAACTTCTAAAAGCCAAATTTTAAGCCTGTCTGGAAAGGGCTTTGAAGATTTAATGGTGATTCTAGGTTACATTTCTTGTGCATCTTAAGCTTGTCTTTGGCATACGCTAGGGGAGCTTGAGAGACAGATGTCTATTTTGTTGTTTCTCACTTACAGGAAAGCAATAATGTTTACTTTTGAAAAACAAAAAATGTGGGATAAAACTCTTTTCATAAATATGAATTTCATTTACTGCTTACTCGTGATTTTATACAGTATAGTTCAAGAGCACCACTCTAATCACTTAATAACATGCCACTTTATCTGCTAATGAAGTACAGGGCGCCTTTCTTAAAAAATGCTGTACAACCAAACATGACTGTTAGTTTTGACTTCAAAACAGCATGCATTCCCACTGCATCATTCTCAGTTTTAAGTAGGCTGTTTGACTGAACTAGGCTGAAGATCTGGATTTGGGTCTTTTCTTTATCATCAGTGCTATCTTAAAATGCAGAGTTGGAGTTTGCATATCCCAAAAGAGAGGAAAAGCAAGTTAGTGTGCAGACCTGAGAGCAGAATTTCTATTGCTAATGGAAGTTATAATGTTATTCAGTTATAAAACATTTTTAACTGTCTTCTTAGTTTAAAATAAAATAAAACAAAAACCTATTATATAGAAACACGTCATTTCACACATTTCTTAGCATTTCAACATAACATTACAGTGCCTTTTGTTACTTTGTTTTTACTTATAGTTCAATTAGTCTTCTTCAGCCGAAGTTTCAAACCTCCTTCATCTTTACTTTATGGCATTCTGGCCATTATGGCGACACAAGCTGGAGGTTTTTTCTGGGCAGCTAAGCAATGTGTAATTTAATGTAACTAAGAAATTGTGTGTAATAAATATGCAGTTCAAAATTACTATTGCCAGTGATAACCTTCCTATCTAACTGTGACCAGTTTGTATGCAAGTGAAAAAGAATTGATGGGAAAGTAAAACAAACTCGGGATTGATTGAATGCTTTCCTACAAAAAACTGAGTTTAGAATAGTTTGGATTTTTGTGTTTGTTCATTTTACTGTAATTTTTTTCTACATTTGGCTTTTCTAAATTTTCAGGTGGAAATAATTTCATAATTTCTGGAGATGGGCTGTAGAATTACACTAGTCCTGACTGGATAGGGTTTAGACTTCAGAAATTCAATATATTTTTGCAAATGTGGAAGTTAAATTTCAGCAGGATTATTTATTGTAGGCTATCAGTATAATGGAACTAAGTACAGGTGCTGTGGGACTTGACACTTTCTATAATACAGTTAAAACTTCATTTTCAAAACCAGCCACCATTATGGGAGTTCTGTTCACAGGCTATAAGCAGTATTACCAGCTGAAACATTCTCTAATTTCATTACTCACTTACTGATAAGCAATTAAATCATAAGAAAGAAAATAATCAAATTACTTTTGATATGTAATCGTAATTTTTTCAGCCAGCTATTTTTAAATGACCAATACTGCCTTGGATAGCCATCATAAGAGACACTCTAAAGAAGATATGAATTCTGTATTGGTCAAGTAGAAGCTCTGGTGCCACAAACTGAAAATATTTCCTGTTGAAAGTTAAGCATGACAAACTGTGCATCTATTTTCTTAAATATAGCAACATGGAATTATGATGAATATCTGACTGGCTGTTCTTCAGAATGAAACTATTTATATTCAGGAAGTAAGGAATCAGATATGGCATCATCACAAACACAGGGAGTTCCTGATTGCAAGGCTCTGATAGAGCTGCCTCGAGCAAGTGACAGAACTGGTGAAAGCATATGGGCTCCATGTGGCTGAAAGCGTCTTCTCAGGATCTGTATGCGTGCTCGGACACTAAGTCTGAAGGTAGCTCATCAAAACCTTCCTTGCAGAAGAGTAACTGTATTCCTCTCATTAAATAGTGAGGGTGAAATTCCTCAATAATTTCATTTTCCTAAGTCTCTGTATGTGTCTTGCTTAATTTTGGGGTTTGGTTTGTGGTTTTTGGTTGTGTTTTATTAGGAAGGCACATGCTGGCCTTCTGTGTATTTTTTTTGTAAAAAATTGGCATCACAAACAGTTGTAATTGTTCTGCCACACAGCTAAAATGTAGTCCTTTCACTGGCATATGTTTCAGAGTAAACACCAACAGCACTAATGAAGTCATCATTCAGAAAAAAGACTTCACCTATATGCAGGTTAATGGAGGCCTAGATAAATGCTGTTCCTTGGCTGTGCTTTCATCCTCAGTTTTATGATGCTTATAGTATTAAGAATATAATTATAGGAGGGACTGATGGGAAAACCTACTATTAAGGTTCCCTGACATTTCCCATAGTCAGGGAAGCCAGCTGCTGAGTCTGGAGTCTGATAACTAGAGGGGTGTTAAGCCTGACCAAACTCAGTAAGAGTGGCCATTGCTCCCTGTGAGTGGATACCAGAGGTAGTCATTTATGCTCAGCTGCTGAATTCCCAGGTTGTATTTTTATTTCATTCTGCCTTGATCTTGCTCCAGCTCCTTTTTGTTTCATAATGTTATGTAAACACTGTGAGTAAATTCAAAGTTTTCATCCTCCAGGCTAAGCACTGGCATTATGGTATGAACACATGGTGAGTTGAGTTTCTTGTTTGTGTTATCTTTTCTTTGCTGTTCAAATGGTGCTGAGGTAAATACGACTGCTTTTTCACCAAGTTATAAAAAACGCACCTAATATATTTTTTTTCTAGACTGTATCTCTAACACCTGTTTGTATGTGAGTGAACATAGCCAAATGGTAGATTGCATTCATTTTGGCTATCTTTGATGCTGCTAAGGGAATGCACTTCTGTTTGATCACAGTACTAACCTGTGTTGTTAATTCTTATCTCATGCCTTCCTCCACAATGACTCCACAGCACAGAGAAATTTGCACAAATGCTGGAGTACCTTTGTCTTCAAATCCTTTCTTAAAGGTTCCTTTCCAGGGATGCCTACTAAGAATTTAACAGCTGGGCTGCTTGTAAATTTGAGATTAGAATTTATTGTGCTGACCTGTGCAGTTTCCTTGAACACCCCAGCACTCTGTAATTATTTGTTCTTCTATTTTGCTTAGATTGTAAATTACTTGTGGTTTGGATCACCTTTTTCTCTCTTTGCATGGTGTCTGGCACAGTAGAACTTTCATCCGTAAACAGAGTTCCTTGGTGCTTGTACAAAAAATAAATATGATCATCTGGGGGTGAATCAAGACCAGGCAATTGAGGGAACAGATTCAAATTGTTTACCGAAAGAATCTGTTCTCTCTGAACACTCATCTCGTTTGTTTCAGCAATTGGAAAATAACACTTGTAGGAAGAGAAAATTAAGTCACTTAACTTATTCCCTGATGCAATATGATTTAGTCATATATTTGTCATAAGCTGTCTTTGAAATGCAATGGTAAATGTCTTATACCTGGCTTTTTCACTGGTAGCCCTTAATGTAGCATTTCTCATTTTGCAATTTGAGCCCATACGCAAAGTGTGAGTCCCCATATGGAAAATTCTGGTGACTCAACCCTTTAATTCACAGAGCTGTAAGGATGTAAGGATGAATAAGTACCTCTAGAACTGTTCTGAATATTGCTTTGAGAGCCATACTAAAGCTCAGGAAGAAATACAATAATTTTCTCTTCAGAGGAAAAAATAAGTCGTGTTCAACATGTGGCTGTAGGTACTGCAGAGTAAAGAAGCAATCACTTTGCTCTTTGGTCTGTCTTGTACACAGACCATAAAATGAGCAAATGGTCCAGTGCAGCATTCCAGTGCTCTTAGGGTGTGGGTCATTCGGAGCAGCTGAAGAGTGGTGGTTGGCTGGCCATGCACATTTAGCATGCCTGTGCTACAGGAGAGGTGCTGGTCCAGATTCTTTTTTTCAGTATACTTTTATTACTGTTACTGCACTGTTTATTCTAAGCAAGCTGTGAAGTCTACAAAATTACATCAAAGAAGACTGAGCTATTTTGGAAAAAAAAAATCTTTACACTGTTATTTGTTTACTTGTTTAATACACTATAAAATCTGTTTTGCAGATTTTTCTCAAATTTGCTGTAGTTTCTTGGGGGGGGGGCAGGAGGGGCGGATGGTAAAGAGAAAGCCATGTGAGTATCCTCTTTTAAAAGGAGAACAAACTCTAACAGTTAAATTCAATACGTTGGGTGTGACCCACTATGTATTTACAACTGACTAGTTCTCATAGCTGTGCACGATGAATTTGTCACAGGATATGATGTGAACAGCTTTTCTTGAAAATAACCTTTTATCATGCAAACGTCAATACTTCTCAATAGCTGGTTAGGGGAAATATTTGCATAATATTATG